CCGGGCCCTCCCCACGCGCCAGGACTGGCGGCCAGGCCGAGCGGTGGCTTCAGAGGGCCAGCGTGCAGCTTCCGCCGTCCTCTCTCCACCCCCTCCAGCCCCGCCGCCTGAGCCTCGCTGCTCTTTTTAATATCCACTTGGCGATGCTTAACTTAGCCTCTTGGAAACCAACTCAGAGTCGAATTCCTGGCGACTTCCAAGGCCTTTCATTTTCCGGCCGGCCTGCAACGCTACGGTTTCCCTGGGCTTGGGCGCTGAGAGAGCCGAGCTCCTGCCGGCCTGCAGCGCCTTCCCCAGCCCCTGCCCTGCCTGACCCGCCTGGGCAGGAGGGACAGCCACACCCCGGGCAGAAGGTTCCAGAGCACCTGTCCTGGAAGGGCCCGGTAGAACCACTGCGTCCTTTCCCCTGTGGTAGCAGAGGCAACTGTGTCCCGCCCCAGCCTGGAGGGAGAGGGACCGACTTCCTGGAAGATCCGAGCACTCATGAGTCAGTAGCCTCCGGTCCCGGGGGAACAAGGCTTCCTATTCCACGTTCCCCAGCCCAGCGCCTCTCCAGGACACGTGGCCGGGTGGGGGAGTGGGGCTCTTTCCTGCAGCTCCCCGGGTCCCGGGGGCTGCTCACCTGGCCACCTGGGAAGTCCGACCAGCACCTGGTCAGAACCCGAGGAGCTCAAGGAGCAGGTGGGGAGGGCCGCAGCCTGGGTCCCCGAGGTGCGGGGGGCACCTCTCTGCTCTTTAAGCTTCAGTCAAGGGTTTGTTCAAGCCTGAGACACAGAAGAGCTTTGTTGGCCCAACCCTGCTCAAAAAAACTGTGTTCACGCCGACATTCACAACCCGGGCGGGTCCCTGAGAACTCCAGACTCCCGGCTTCTCTAAAAGAGGCCTAGCCCCCGGGAGAAGCCTTTCTGCCCAGCCACCGGGCAGTCGGATGAAGCGTGCATTTTCCAGTTTGTTCTGGTCTCTGGGCCACTGTATGAATTTTCACTCTTTGCCCAGCACCCCGCCCCTCCCCAAACACACCCCAGGCCTCAGAGTTTACAACACCTGTCCCACGGAGCTACCTGTTCCCAGGTGAGGTCCTGAAATGCCACTCGGTCCCCACTCCTGCCCAGGACAGGATCTTAAACACAGTCCCCCAGGCAGTAAGGGCATCTTGGAGTAAAGAAGCAGTTTCCAGTCTTCTTGGAGACATCAGATAGCACTCTCTCACCCCAAATGCCTGGAGGGCAGCCCCCCAAAATTATCTGTCCAGTCCTCAGCCCCAGATCTGTAAATGTGGCCTTATTTGGGGAAAAGGTCTTTGAGACTGTGAGTTAGTGAAGACCTTGAGATGGAACCACCCTGGATCATCCGTGTGGGCCCTAACCGTGAGCATAGGGACTGCTCACGGGGCAGCAGAGGGAGACAGGGACACAGAGAGGAGGCTGGACAACGTGGCCATACACCAGGGGATGCCTGGAGCCACCAGAAGCTGGAGGAAGCGGGCCAGATTCCCCAGGGCCTCCCGGAGGAGCAGCCGGGCTGATTTCGGAGTGTCTCCACATCTGCCCGGGAACAAGTGTGTGCTGTCCCCACCCAGGCGTGGCCATTTGTCCAGTGGCCCCAGGACACTTGTGCAGCACCGCAGACCAGCACCCACGCCCCTGCGCCGTTTTCGTTATTGTAGTTCTTTCTAAAACACCACGCTGAACCGACCACTAATAGCCCTCAACTTGGAACGGCAGGGATCACAGAGGACTTTTGGCATATTTATTTCATTTCTTTTCCACATTTGAAAAGATATTCCTGTTTTCCCGATTACAAATGTAGTATCTGTTCGCTGTATTCATTTAGAGTACAGAAAAGTATAAATAAACCTGCTAGTCCGCCCACGAGGCTCCCCAGCACCCACACCCACGGTGGCAGGAGAGCCCAGGAGGGCCTCAGGAGGGCACTGCCGCCCTGCCCCCAGCCCCACACCAGCGGCTGGAAGTGGGGAGTGGGCTGAGAGAGGGCCCTGTGAAGACCGTGTGGGACCCTCATGCACCAAGGCCACTTCCTGCAGAGGTCGCTGTGCAGCGCTGGTGCAGAGTCCCCTGCCGCAGCTGTGGGGCACAGCCTCGACGTGGTTTTACACAGCATGGTTTGGCTGCAGGTCGGTTTCCCGGCCATGCCTAAAAATCCAAGCATTCTGGCCCAAGGAGGGGATAATTTGAAATTGAAAACCTGGCAGCACCAGTTGGCTCGAGGAGGCCCCTGTTAGTCATGAGCCTCTCAGAGGCAGGGTGCAGAGGTGAGGTAAGGCCAGGCTGCAGGGGGCGGCCCCACTGTTCATGGTGCCTGGCCTCACTGCAGGCACTAAGTGGGCACTGCCAGGGCAGACCCAGCCCCTGAAGTGGGCTCCCCCACACACTCCTCCCTCCGGCGGGCACGGAGGAAGTCTGTGGTTGCATGCAGCCTCCCGGCCGAGGGCTCACGGGCACACCAGCATTCCTGGTGGAGTGAGCAGCCCTGCTCAGGGGGCCTGGCCCAGCTGAACCCAGCTTTCCCCACATCAAACCCAGCTTCCTGGCTGGGGTCGGGGACCTTCAGGGTGACAGCTATTCCATGTCACCCGGTCCCTTAGCCTGCCCAGGTCAGTCCCTCTCCAGACGGTTCTCAGGACTGCACGTCTGCCTCTCCCCGCTCAGACACTCTCACCCGTGGTCCCCACAGCCCTGGACACGTTGTGACATCACTATCCTGTCACCTGTTCTCTGACCGCAGGGTGGGGCTCCCAGGCTCAGTGCTTGCCCGCCCCTAGAAGCAGCGAGGCCCCAGCAGGGTGAGGAGGTGGCGAGGGTGGCTGTAATAGACACTGGTGGGGCTCTGCAGGCCCGAACCACCAAGAGGGTGAGGGCTGGCTCCACCTGCTCTGCCTGGGCTCAGTGCACTTCAGGGAGAGGTAGGCCGGTGGGGCCTGGGAAATGGTTCTTTCTGGGAGGCTGAGTCAAATGCCACCTCTGTTAGGAAGGCTTCTGTCCTCCCTCTCTCTGCTCCTGTGCAGAACATACACGCCCTCGTGGACAGCACTGCCACCGCAGCCCTCTCGGGACCGAAGTCTCTTCTCCGTGGAAACCATTGCCCCAGCAACGTGCCTGCAGGCTGAGCCTGGCTCCCGCGTGCCTACCCAAACGTGTCTATAGGCTGATCCTGGCTCCCGCGTGCCTACCCGAACGTGTCTATAGGCTGGGCCCGGCTGCCCGCTGGCCACCC